TGACTCCCTGATTAGCTGCCCACCCTGTCAATCAGGCTGACCTGGAAGGGTCCTGATTTCCCATCCACCCTTCCCCTTTCTTCTGGGACAACAGTCCCCTACAGATTGATGGGAATGGGGCATTTCCCTGAAGAGACACTGGCCAAGATTTGCAATAGGGAGTTGGGGGGCTGCAGTTTTTAAGCGCCCAGCGTGAGGCGCTTTCAAGGCCTGATTTTCAGAGGGGCGGGTGCTCTAAAACCCAAGACCCCTTATAACGGTGCTGAAAACTCAAGGCCCCAAATGACTAGTTACTGCTGAAAAGTCTGGTCCCTGCACACGGTACAAGCCTTCAAAAGACGAGTCAGGCCCCAAAATCACGGGATTGGCTGGGCACTCACAACCAACGGGGGGTGAGTCGTGGAAATGGTAGAAAGTAATTGTAGGTGTTTGGCCGATGGTTTCGATGGCTGGATTCGAGGTGTAACGGAGTCACTGGTGTCTCTCGCTGAGAAGAGAGCTTCAGACAAAGGAAGCCGTAGATCCAATCTCCCTGGTGTCAGATGGGCATTTGACACAGTTCCACCCGAGAGACTATTAGTTACATTGGAGAAGAGGGGGATTAATAGGAGAACTGGAAGGTGGGTAAGGAACTGGTCGAAGGGGAGACTACAATGGGTCACACTGGAAGGTGACCTGTCAGGCTGGAGGGAGGTCACTAGCGGAGCTCCTCAGGGATCTGTTTTGGGACCAACCTTATTTAACGTTTTCATACTGACTTTAGCACAGAACGTGGGAATGTGCTAATAAAGTTTGCGTGTGGCACAAAGTGGGGAGGTATTGGCAGCGTTTCACTCTGAGCCACCACTTTCCCCAGACACGCCCCAGGCTGGTGCTCTAACCACTGGACCGTCCTGCCCGTCCAGCAGCAGTCCCGCCAGGTGTGATCAAAGGGGCATCGGCTGGGTGTCTGCAGCGATGCCCAGGAGCGCCAGGGCTTGTTTGCCCGGGGTGAGCTGCAGCGGGAGACGCTGGGGTCCATACGCTGCACCCGGGTTGGGTGGAAGAGACTCCCGCAGTTTGGGGGGCCTGGCTCTGTGTCTCATTGACCCCCATGTCTAACCCGCTTTCCCCCCCGTGCTGACCCACCCCGCTCTGTGTCCCGCAGGCCACCCGCCCAGCGTGATGGAGATCCCCATGCCGGCCCCCGTCTGCCTGATCGAGAACAGCCCGGCGGGGGAGCTGCGGGTGCAGCAGGAGGCACTGCGGGTACTGGCGGAGATCCCCCAGCCTGTGGTGGTGGTGGCCATCGCCGGGCTGTACCGCACCGGCAAGTCTTACCTCTTGAACAAACTGGCCGGCAAGAGAACAGGTGAGAGATGTGAGTCCTGCCCCTGGGCACCAGGACTCCTGGATTCTCTCCCCAGCGCTGGGAGGGGAGTGGGGTCTAGTGGTTAGGGGGGCAGGACTCCTGGGTTCCCTTGTTCTGCATCTGTTCCAGCTCCACCCCTCTCTCCCCAGGGTTCTCGCTGGGCTCCCCAACCCAGTCGCACACCAAGGGCATCTGGATGTGGTGCCTGCCCCACCCACACAGGGCCGGCCACACCCTGGTGCTGCTGGACACCGAGGGGCTGGGTGACGTGCAGAAGGTGAGTGTGTGTGTGGTGGGGGGGGATCAGTGTATGAGAATCAGCCAATTTGCAGAGCAGGATGGAATGCCCCTTGGCACGCAGGGGCTGCTGGGACTTGTAGTTCAGGGCAAGGCATACTGGGAAAGGGGATGGGGGTATTTTAAGGATCTCCCTCTGAATCATAGAATCATAGAATGTCAGGGTTGGAAGGGACCTCAAGAGGTCATCTAGTCCAACCCCCTGCTCAAAGCAGGACCACTTCCCAATTAAATCATCCCAGCCAGGGCTTTGTCAAGCCGGGCCTTAAAAACCTCCAAGGAAGGAGACTCCACCACCTCCCTAGGTAACCCATTCCAGTGCTTCACCACCCTCCTAGTGAAATAGTGTTTCCTAATATCCAACCTAGACCTCCCCCACTGCAACTTGAGACCATTACTCCTTGTTCTGTCATCTGGTACCACTGAGAACAGCCGAGCTCCATTCTCTTTGGAACCCCCCTTCAGGTAGTTGAAGGCTGCTATCAAATCCCCCCTCATTCTTCTCTTCTGCAGACTAAACAATCCCAGTTCCCTCAGCCTCTCCTCATAAGTCATGTGCTCCAGCCCCCTAATCATTTTTGTTGCCCTCCACTGGACTCTTTCCAATTTTTCCGCATCCTTCTTGTAGTGTGGGGCCCAAAACTGGACACAGTACTCCAGATGAGGCCTCACCAATGTCGAATAAAAGGGACAGACTCAGCGAGCTCCATGTAGGGGAAGGAGGGGCTGGCTGATGTGGGGCTGACGCCCTCTGAGGGGGGCAGTGCCAATGCCAGGAGGGCTGGGGATGCCGTGGTGTGGCTGGGACGGGAGGCCCAGGGGTGTGTCTGGAAATGCTTGTCCTGCCCGGGGAGAACTGTTGAGATATCAAAAATGTTTCCCATCCTGAATCACGATGAAAAGTCAAAATGGGGGAAAAAGTGCCAGGGTCTGAAAATCAGAAATGTGTCCTGGGTCCGGGTCACGCAAAAAACTTGATCATTTTCAAATGTTTCATTTTTATTTTCCACCTTTTTTTCCCTTGCTTAACTTGGTCCAAATTTACCAAAACATTGGCAGCGAGATGTCGATTTGCCTTGAAAAATGGCAAGTTTCCAGTTAGACAAATGGCCAGTCAGGCTGTTTCCACAGTTCTGAAACTTTTTCCCAATAATTTTTCAAGTCAGGAAACCTGAACCGACCCTGTTTCTTCAGTATTCTCCAGTGTTGATTTTGGTATCAACAATTCAACGTTCTCCAGTGACAGTTTCCTGACCATCTGTAGCGATGGAGGGCAGGCCTGGCATTCAGGAGAGCTGGGTTCAAATCCCTGCTCCACAGACCCCCTGGGTGACCTTGGACTCAGTTTCCCCACCCAGCCTGCCAGAGGGAGTGTGACAATAAATACATTCCCTCTGGAGAGGGGCTCAGACACAGCTGATAAGATGGATCCTTTGAGGAGGATCCCGCAGCCTTGGCCATATGTCGGCATTGCTCTGCTGCAGGTGGAGGGAAGAGCCGGCATCACCAGTCACCAGGGGGCAAAAAAAAGTCAGGACCTGAAATGCACAAGAGCAGCTGCAAACCCCACACCCTGCAGTGGGGGCTGCTGCAGCTGGACCCTGTGGGGGAAGAGGAGTTGTCGCCTTCCTAAAGTTTAAACGGAGCCACATAAGTTAGAAACTTACTTCAGTAAAAGGAGAGCAATGAGAGCTCCCACCCCGTACCGTGTTGTACTTAAAGTACTGCACAGGATCTTTCAGGGGGACTAAGACAAAACGCCACATTTATTAGTAATACATGTATTCATTAACACTGTATCATATGCATATAATATATTACACTTACACTCACACACACACACAAACACACTCCGTCTTGTTGTTACCAATTAGTTGCTCCCCTTAACTTCACTGGCCAGGTGAGTTAGATGGGGGAGGGGGTGGAGCCGGGCTTCTGTCAATCCAGATCGATGCTCCCATGTTGACAAGACGAGACCTGGGGTCCTCTGCAAGACACCTCACTTTTATAGCAGCTTTCCTCTTATGCAAATCTATACCAGATTCAAACTCTGTGTCTGTGTCTATTGGTCCTTTGTGCTGCTTTCTTTTGAGAGTTGTCCCAATGCTGCAAAGAGGGTGTTTCCAAAAGAAGGTGCTTGCTTCTAACCCCCGAGGCCCTCAGTATGTCTGCTTGTCTTTAATGAGCCCACTTGACACGTTTTATTGTCCTTGGGTCTGGCTCCCAGCCCCTCTCCAACAGTTGAGGCTGTCTGGAGGTGCTGCCTTCCATGCCTTGCTCATCCACACCTCATTCATTCAACAGGGCAATTGATTAAGAGTGGGGGAGTGGGGGGAGAGCTCTTGTTCTACTGCTAGCAAACAGAAA